TTTTAAAGATGTATTATTAATATTGTTCTAATATATTTAAAGAAATTAATTTTTTTGGCATGTAAGACTTAAATTCTAAATCTACCCTTTAAAATAATACTTAGTATCAATTTATATAATATAGTAAATTCTTGTTATAGAAAGGGTTATATGTTTTTGGTAGTAAATGGTATCGGTGTAATGAGTTTAAACTTTAAAGTACTTCTTGCATTCTGATAATAAAAAAATTATATTTATTTAAAAAAAAAAAAACATAGTAAATCTAATCCTCGAAGTCTGTTGACTACCACTTCATCAAAATAGATAAATATTGACACCTAAAATTAAAAGAATTTTAATTTAATACATCATACTTACATATTTTTTACTTCTAACATAAACACATAAAATGTTAATTAAAAGAAAACAGAAATACCTACCATATAAACAAAGCAATCCCACATATATGGTAAGTGATATTAATCATTAATTGTCAAAATTGGTAATCACATTAAAAAAAAAAAATCTCATCTAATATGTATTCTGTCGAAATCATCTTTTATCATTTTCCAACAAGACAGATTAATGCCTTCACTTCATTTCATTTCATTTCAGCAGGAATATTGTAATGCAACCTCATGATATCTCGTCCTTTTAATTGAAAATGGTCTAATACAAAATCTTGTCCTATACTTTGCTTGGCTAAAATAACCATTATGTTAGACCAATGTTCTTGAGAATAATCCAAATAAAAATACTGTTGGAAACTTTCTAAACTACTCATAAATCAATATCATGTAACTAACTGCAAAATGACTTGTCAATTTTCTTGAAACATTGAGATGATTTGTTTTTTAGCAAGCATCACTGCTTTAGTAAAACCTAGTTTAAATTTTGAATTTTTAATTTGAATCAAATTAAGTGGCTCCATATATTCTGTTTCAATCCCTTTCATATCTTTTCTAGTTTTAGAGGTTGGATTTTGTCTTGAGATAATTTGTGCACTCTCAACGAAATTCATCACTTCTTAGTCAAGGAAAGGACACATTATCTACCTTAGAAGTCGAGAATTTGTGAAGGAGGGAATAAGATAGGAAACAATACTAAACAAGCCATATCCTATGGTCCCAACCCTTTTACTTATTAGTAAGAAATAACATTTCTATAATGCGCTAAAGTTGATTCAAGTAGTAAGAAATGATATAAATCATGTTAGAAATGCAAGTCCGATTTTTTTTTTTTTTTTGTGTTATTTAAGTATAAATAATTTTAATAGGCTATGTTTGTAACTTTAGTAGAGATTTATCTAATAGCATTATATGGATTAATTTGAAGTTATTTATAAGATTAACGGAGCTAAATGTCTTGATGTCCATATTATTAAAAAATAAAAAGATTTACTAACTTGAAATCTTCAATTTGAAGATAAAGGCTAGGGAATCAAATCTATAGAACAGCTATTAATTTCTTAATACAAAGTAATAACAATAATTAT